TCTCGAAGCGAATGTCCGGGATGAGATGACTGTATATATATATATATATATAGCGAAAAAGAGCAAACCATCCGCCATTGTACGTGATCTCAATGTAAAAATCTCGATAGCTTAGAATTCTTGTCCGGTCAGTTCACGTGAAACTTTAATGTCTTAGATCTTCACTGGACTCACGTATTCTCCACGCTTCGAGTACTTCAATAAAACGTATTCCTTTTACAACAATTGATTCTCAAAAGATGCTTCTGCATTTTTAAAATTTCATATGAGAAGTTTCTTTTTTTTCAGTAGTGAAAATTGTTTTAATAACTGAAAATAGTTTTTCAATCAACTTTATTATATATTATTTCTCTTTTATATATTATAAAAAAATTTCGCCGCTGTCTCCAGTATAGGTCATTCCATGACAAGTGTACCAACCCATGTTTTTGACAAGGTTAGGTTAGAAATGGGTCATTCCATATCAAGAATAACCAACTATTGTACTAACCATGTCAAAAACATGGGTTGGTTACACTTGATATGGAATGACCCACATATATACCTAGATTAGTATTTTAATTTTGATTTTAACCTCAAACCCACAGGCGAATTAACGTGGAACAACCCATGTATCTACCTATACTATTATTAAAACGAACATAACCTCAAAATTCAAGGGCATAGGGTTCCAGGATTCAAGGTCAGAGATCAAACATAACCTCAAAATTCAAAGTCCTAGGTCTCCAGGATTCAAGGTCATGGATCAAACATAACCTTAAAATTCAAAACCATGGTTTCCAGAATTCAAAATCAGAGATCAAACATAACCTCAAAATTCAAGGAAATAGGTCATGTGACCTTTGGGTTTGAGGCTATGTCCGACAAACATAACTTCAAATTCCCCTAACCAAGAAACGAACATAACTTCAAAATTTAGATAAAATTTTTAATAATTTTAATACTTACAAGCCTTTAAAACGTTCTTTCGAATGGCGCTATTGGTTTTTTAAAAATTGAATTTTTTTTATTAAATTTTTTTAAACAAATTAGATAAACAAATTATTTTGCAAAAAGAAAAATTAGGGGTGTCTTTTTTTTCGATTATGCTATGAATTCAATAATTAGTTTGACGTTAGAAACGCTGTGTAATCTATGGGCCTTAATGGGTTAAAACGTTTTTAGAACGTTTCATATGTCAAACAAATAATATTCTAGAACATTATTTGAACATCCATGTTCATAAAATGTTTTAGCACATTACTTGGCGGACATGAAACGTTCTCTCTAAATCTGAATTAGTAGTTTTCTACTAATGAAAGAGTGCGTATTCGTTTACCAATTCAATTAGTAACAGTTTTGATTAATTTTTAGTAAAAGAAACTACTAATTGCTAGTATAAAACTACTAATTCATGGAGTAAATTGGCTTACTAATTTGAAATAGTAAAAAATACGACTTACTCCATAAATTAGTAGTTTTCAACTAGCAATTAGTAGTTTTCGAGGGGGAATTTACTCAGGTAGTCAAGTTTACACTTTTCCTGTAATACTTGTGTAATAACGTGTAATACCGTGTAATAATGCGTTATTACGGTGCTGTAATAACGCAAAAAAATCTGTAATATCTCTGTAATAATGTGTAATACTCTGTAATAACGTGTAATAACTTAGTAATAAGGGTAACATTAGGTGTAATACCGGTAGTCAAGTGTACACGTTTTTAACTAGTAAATTCCCCCTCGGTAGTTTTTTACTACAAATTAGTCAAAACTGTTACTAATTCAATTGGTAAACGAATGCGCACTCTTTCATTAGCAGAAAACTACTAATTCAGATTTAGAGAGAATTCTTAAAATGTTTTTAGAACGAACATGGTTTTTTGCCCACTGGGTGAACAACTTCTTTTTTTTATGGAAATCGATAATTATGAAACAGGGTGTAACCTTATTTATTTTAAATTTAACTCGCCTTTTGCCATAAATTTATAAAACACAAAATATATATTATATAAAAAAAATTAAATCCCAAAGCTTTTCCGCTTTTTTTCTTTTGCATTTCCTTGACCTCGTGCATGCTAAACAACACATGTCCTACATCTAACAATGAAACTTAAAAAAACAAAAGCCTTGAATTTTTCTTTTGTGTGGGAATAAAACTGCGACATTATTAAGACACGTTAAATTACAATTAGGTCACCGACGCGATGCGTCGCGACAGTGACAAAACAACTGTCTGACTTTCTTAGACTTGTTGCCTCTTTCCACTTATTTCTCTTTCTTTTCGTTTTACACAGTTTAATGACGGCCACTATATTTTCACTACTTCCACCATTACTCTCTAACTGTTGAAAAATCGTTTCCAATTTTTAATTTTCCTTTTATATATATAAAAACTGTAATTTTTTTTTCTAAAACTAAATTAAAATTACTCTAAAATTTTAAATTTTAATATATATATATATATATAGAAAAAAATTAATTAAAAATAAATTTAATTAACTTTAAGCTATTGAAATTATATTTGTTAAATATAATATTAAAAGATTGGAATACTTAATGAGACGTGCAATATTAAAACAAAAATTATAACAACATATTGCGGCTTTCAGATATACATGTGTAACCATAATGTTATTCCGGGGTAACAAGTTTGGTGTAGACATTTTTAAATATATCGAGAAAGAGGTTATTTCTTTTAGAGCGCTTTAAACCCTTTGGACCTCCAGAGAGTGTTGCAGGTTGCTGATCCTCCTCTGGTATGGAATGCTGAAGAGCTTAGCGTATTGGAAAAGGCGAGAGAAAAGAAGAGATGTTGTAACTTGCACGATTTACCATGTTCTCGCGTCGACCTTTTACCTATTTCTTTTTTTTTTTTTATATATATATATTCCTTCTTATACTCACTCACGTAAAACATATAACAAATTTTAGAAAATATGATGAAAAAATCAAATTAATATTAATAATTTAAATAGAACGTACTATTATTGATTAAAAGTTTATATTAATATTGGAAAATTATTTTTCTTTAAGAAAAGTAGCATAAAAATGAGAAGATTCTTCTGATTTTTTCCGCGGTATATTATAAAATTTTTCGTTTATTTGCTATAAGAAAACTTTATGAAACGTATACACATGAAATTTCCTTCCCTTCTAACAGTTAAGAAAAAAAGGATTATACCCCCAGGCATCTAATTATATTTCTTTTTTATTTATATTTCTAATAAAAAGAAAACATTCTTTATTCGTATAAAAAAATTCAATTCTATTAAAATGTATAAACATTAATTGTTTTCATTGATATAATTGTAATTTTCTGTATGCGTGGGATGTATCAATCGATTTATGTTTGGTAGACAAATTTGACATTTTTAAAAATAAAAGAATGATAATAAATTTTTCGTTTGCTTTCTGAGAAGATCAGGCAACAAAGTTCTTTAGGACTTTCCTAAAATGGAGAAGAAACATTCTTGGGTGGGTATTTAACAGAATAACGTCACTTGTTATGTGGGATGACTTTTTGTTGCGCGCGCTCTTGGTCTACAATGGTGTGGGTTTTCTTTAATTTCTCGACTCTCGCGTTTATAAGAAATGTGCGCAAATTGCAGAAAGTGTATTATACGTTGAAGCGTGCTCGTCCTCAGCAGGTATGCACATGCATGCCCATGTAGTATCTCATATTCTCTCGTGATTGTAACACAAAATGACTTTAGGCAAGCCTGAATGTATAATATTTCGTATCTCCTCACGTATGTATGAATCTTCGTGAGCACGAGAGCCAGGACAGATGCTGCGGATACGTTTACGAGTACCCAAACGGCTCACGGCACCACAACATTTCGCATATCAGTGACTCTCAACTCTAGCCCACTTAAAAAATTCTATAATAAATATTTTACTTGATAATTTTTATGCAGTCATAAAAGTATCATCATTTTAATATTTGTCCACAAATTATTTTATATACGATATATATAAAATATCGATGACCTCTAGGTGAAAGCGTGAAAAGCTCTCTGCTTTTACTTCATCAATGTCCAGCGTTCGCTAAAGCTGAACTGAATGAACGATTGATTGATAGACATGTATGTATATATGGTCTTAACTCGTTATTTCAGTCACGAAGAATTTATTGCAAACGTAAAAAGCTTCTGTTCCGGAAACGGAGATACCCAGTAAAACAAATTTTTTCGTATATGAAAACTTGAGTGACAAGAGATATAAATAAAACACAAACTCTATAGTAATTTTTATAAAAATATTTCTTCAATGAAAACCAAGTTCTGTTATTTGAAAAATAATTTTTTAAAAATATATCAGAAGATTGAAAAAAAAACTTTTATTTTACAAAAAAGCATCTCTTTCTGTTTTAGTGAGGAAGCAAAACTAGAAAAAATGTTTAGTTGAACATTTCTGTTTGCTGTGTAAAAATTTAATCACTATAATTTGTTAAGCTCTTACAACAAGCACACATTCCGCCTCATGAAATAGTTCTCAACAAAAGCTGAGTGCACGCTCTGGCACCACCTCCGGGATATCATAAAGTACTTTGTTTTTTCAAATGTGTATATATAGATATAAACCAATCTGAAAAAACTTGAAAAACTTTTTCCAGGAGCTTATCTGAAAGTTTTTAATTCTAGCAAGTACGTGCACACATGTACACTTTATTGATCCTTTAAGTATCGACGGGAAGTCTCTTTAAACACAAACAAGACTGACTTTACTCAACAATCGAGAATAAACTTTAATTGGACAGTTTCTTATTGTCTTTATAAATTTTAAAAAGTAAAATATTTAATAAATCATATTTTTAAATTTTCTCCAATTAAAAGAAAAGTAAAACTTTTGTTAGAAAATATTTCACAATTATTTTTCTCTAAAATATTCCCTTTACTTAAATAATTAATAAGTATTTGTGTCCTTCACTTTCAGAATAATAAACAACTTTTTTTTTTCTAAAATACATTAAATTTAAAAATTCCGAGGCAATAATAAATCCTATTTTTTTCCTCTTTAGGAAACTCGAATGTACCACGAAGAAAGATTTATAGTATAACTTCTCTAAGAACGGTGCTTTACTTTAAGGGAGTTTCTACTCGGGTGGAGTTGAGTTTTGGGTAAGGTTGCACAACTAAAGTACTGACTGACCGATACTGAAACATCCTGCTGAATTGCCAGTTTGGTACAAGGTGAGTAACAAGCTTCCAGCATCTCATTAGCCTGACGTAGTCTGATCTTTATTTCAAAGTTTCCTCTTGGAATCGCAAAACTTAGATTATATAGCTTCTTTTACATTTCAGCATATTTAAGAGTTGCTTTTAATATAATTATTTACCGAAAAAATATATTATTAATTAATTGTCTTTTTGATTAAAAAAACAATGTTCATTTTATTATAATTTTTGAGATCAAAAATGTCATATTAATTTTTAGATGATAAATTAATTTAACGATTTTATTACTGTAATACTATTATACACATCTTACTTAAATAATATTTTGCCACAAATTCTATTGTACTTCTAACTTTCTGTATATGTACGGAATAAAGTTTTATAACCAGAAGTTTGACTTGCAAAAGTTAAACACTGAATTGCATTGAAATTTATTGAATTACTTTCATGTCTTTCGTGTTAACTTTGACATTTCTAGACTTGGAAAAACTAAAAAAACAATACGTTATTTTTACTTTCTGCCTTTATTTAATATTTTCTCAAATCAATATTTAAAAATATTATATTTTTTTTAAATTTTCTATTTTTTTATAAAGACCAAGTGGAACAATTCAGTAAATTTACTTGTTGATTTAGATAATTTTCGAGGACGCCTTGCATATTAGCAGAGGGAGAAGCACAAGTGTGAAGAGAAACATCTGCATTCAGGCGTTAAGCTTGAGATTATATAACTGAACTTCAGTTTCTATACCCCAAAGGAAAAAATCGATATTTATCTTAGAGCTAAATAAATATTTATTTGTTATAAATAAATATTTATTTAATTCCAAGTAAATTTTTTTTATTTGTCACACTTATATATAATGATGCGTGAAAAAAGGATTAAAGTGTCAGTTTAATTTCGTTAAAAAATAAAAATATACCAACACCCGCATATTTCATTTAATTTCAATTACATGTATGCCGAACAGTGTCCCCCTTCCATATTTAGAAAGTAGATATTGTTCTTCCCTGGATATTGTTCACCGAGAGAAAACTTTTAGCGCACACACTCCATCAAATTGCTTTACTTTACTCTCACTGGAAACTTTGTAAACAATACATCGAGTTTAGCCTTGATGGAAAATGACATGGAAATGCAAACTTTTTACGTTCAAACTTTTAAAAAATCTTTGGAATTTCTATTTTTAAAATTAAATTACATATATTTGTTTTGAAAAGAAACTATTTTACTTTCCATTAGATGTAATATTTGTTATATATTTTATGTCGAGAGCAAACTTTTGTTATGAATTTTTCATAATTTATAAAAACTTACATCTTCTGCAGATAGAATTTGTGTTCCAGGTTGAGTAGTACCGATCCCTGAGTGTGGACGATGATGAAGAGATGCCGAAGTTTCATCTTTGGGACACACGCTCCTGTACCACGGTAACCCACTTGATGAATCTCTTCTTTCTCTATACTTCCTCCATACATGCCTAAAAAAGAGAATTTATATTTTATTCAAAATTTATTCATTTCAAATTATCCCGAGTCGAAATTTGAATCCTCTTTAGCTCCTCCTAAAACTGAATAAGCCCTCTTTTGTATTTTTTTAAACTCCCGTAAGCCCTCCTTTGAATGGTCTAGTTCGATTAAAATAAAACAAAAAAATACTTTTTTAATTATTTTGATTACAGCAAAATGAAATTTTTTTCACACAATTTCTCTTTAATCTTTAAAAACTGTAATTAACATACCCATGTGGAATCATTTCCGGAAACATTCCGGAAATTACTTATGAAAAGTTTCCGAAAGCTATTTCCAGATATTTCCCAGAAAATTTCCGGAAATCCCGATAAGTAATTTTTCCGGAATAAATCCGGAAATATCTTCCAGAAATTTTCCGGAAATTCTTCCACATGGAATATTTTGAAGCGTTTTCAAAAAATTAAAAGAGTTAGAGCAATTTCAAAATTTCCACTATTTTAATCAATTTTTAGGCCCTACTTTGCACAGAAAGAAAGGAATTGCTTACAGATGCTAACTGATGTTCGCTATCAGATCTATCAAAATTAGTAACCACAACTAAATTTTTTGCTATGACAACGAAAAAGTTTGCTATGATAAACAATATCAGTCTTAATTTTTAAAAATTTACTGTCACAACAACAAACTTTTTTTGACCCCACAACAAATTTGTTCGCTGTCCCTACATGGAGAAACTTTAGTTTATAAAATTTGATATTATAATACTAAATTTTACAAAAAGCCAATAGTAAACGAGGATATAGCGTTACCTTTGTGAAAATTACTATTTAAATATTATACTGAGTGAGTATTCTTAATTTGGAAAGAGTTTCTAAAAATATATGTTATATACCTGTGTAAATCTAATTTAATATTTTTAATTTATTTAAATTTATTAATTAAAATATAAATTATTAATATAAATAAAGTAAAATTTAAATTAAATTCTCAAAATTAAATATTGTTCAGTAAATTTCATTTTGTGTTTCCTTCACTGTTTAACTTTTTGAATAATTTTTAATTAAAAATTTGGAAAATTTCAACAATAATTAAAAAAAATTAGATTTTTTAAAAAGTTATTATTTTAAATAAATATAATAAAAAAATTCTAAGAATTACTTTTTTACAATATTTACTTGATATATACTTTTTTTGAAACTATTTTTTGTTTTGATTTTTTATTAAAATTTTTCAATATTTGATTTTCCGAGGGGGAATTTACTAGTTAAAAACGTGTACACTTGACTACCGGTATTACACCTCATATTACCCTTATTACTAAGTTATTACACGTTATTACAGAGTATTACACATTATTACAGAGATATTACAGATTTTTTTGCGTTATTACAGCACCGTAATAACGCATTATTACACGGTATTACACGTTATTACACAAGTATTACAGGAAGAGTGTACACTTGACTACCTGAGTAAATTCCCCCTCGTGATTTTCAGAAATTTTTATGAAACACTTAAAATAAATAAATTATTTTCAATAAAAGACAAAATAATAATAAGCACATATTTAAAAATAATTTTTTCATATGAAATCATACATTTGATGTGTTATATGTGAAATTTCAACCTACTTTTCATAATTATAATAATATAATATACTTTTAAATGATACCGATAAATTTATTTTGTAATACAGTAGTAGAAAATAATGTCATTTTTATCACTTCATCCTCTCTTACTATTGGTTTTTTGTAAAAATAATTATTATAATGTCAAATTTTACAAACTAATGTTTCTTCGTGATATATTAGCTAACGTTATTTGATGTGACAGCAAATAATTCGCTGTCGCACAGCAAATTTTTTCTATGCGTTTAAATCCAAACGTGGAAAAAAGGGAAATTTGCGCACATTCCAGGCAGCTAAGGAGGGTCTATTTAATCCTACTTTACTCCTAGAAAAGTAGACCTTAAATTTCGGCTCGAGATTCTACCTTTAATTAATTTATCAAAATAATTAAAATCTAAGTTAATATATAAAATAGTAATCGTGTAATTTTCTGGTAAATAGCAATATAAGATGGTAATATGTTTGTAAGATAAGTAACTAGCATGAGAGAAAATTTACCATTGAATTGCACCATTAATCAACGTCAATCTACTCGCTCGAAATGTCTACTATCGCCATTTCCGTCGTTACAACTCCTATATTCTATAATCCAAGTTCTGCTGACTTTATACAAACATTACAGTGACATAATATATAAGGTAAATAATTAATTTGCATTGAAAATTTATTTTTTCTTCTTAAAAGTTTGTTTAAAAAATGATATAATTGAAATTATTAAACGCAATTTTTCATTAAATGGATATTAAATATTTTATTATTTACCTTTTGAGACTTTGTAAAAAGAAGAATAAAAAACTGAGACTTAATCTTTCAATGGGGTGGAAAAATATAACTGCCACTTAATAAATATATGACAGCACTGAATCGTTGTCTAGAAACATATGGCACATATAAGATACCTGAACATAACTTTTCTCATAAAAGTGTTTATCCTCTGATATATACTTGCGCTTGCACCGAAACTCGTTTATATTGACATTTAGCTTTCAAAACCGCACAACTCGCAAGCAGCAAAAATCAAGGTATTCATGTAATTTAATTCACACGAATGCGGTTATGAAATACGTAATACACGGAAAAAAGGAATTACTTACAGATGCTCACTGATGTTTGCTATCGGATCTATCAAAATTACAGCTAAATTTTTTGCAATGACAATGAAAAAATTTGCTGCTCTCTAAATCTGAATTAGCAAAAATGTTTACTAATTTAAATTAGTGACACACTTTTTGCTTCTGAATTAGTAAAATTCAAAAAGCAAAAAGTGAGTCACTAATTCAAATTAGTAAACATTTTTGCTAATTCAGATTTACTGATTTAGAGAGTGTGATAAACAATATCAGTCTTAATTTTTTAAAATTTACTGTCATAAAAAACTTTTTTGACCCCACAGCAAATTTGTTCGCTGTCCCTATATTAGTTCCCAGGTAGAAAAATTAACATTACTAACGTTACTAATATTATTAACGTTACTAATGTTATTAACGTTAGTACCTATAAAAAAATTAAGAAACTTTTTCTAAATTGTATTTTTGCAGAAACTTGTCGAAAATCACTTCCACTTTTTTATTTTCATTACCGTTTCCACTTTCACTTTTTGTAATTCTCATTCCCATTTTCACTTCCACTTTTTATAATTTTCATTCCCGTTTTCACTTCCACTTTTTTATTTACATTACCACTTCCACTTTTTCTAATTCTCATTCGCACTTACATTCTCACTTCCACTCTTTCTAATCCTCATTTCCACTTTCACTTTTTCTAATTTTCATTCCCATTTTCACTTTTTTATTTTCATTACCACTTCCACTTCCACTTTTTCTAATTTTTATTCCCACTTCCCTTTTTCTAATTTTCATTCCCACTTCTACTCCCATTTTTTGCACTTCTAATTTTCATTAGCTGTTGTCATTTCGACTAAAACTCTTTCTAGTTTCCATTTACACAACCATTTCCACTTTTCTTAATTACAATGGATGGAAATTAGAAAAAGTGAAAGTGGTAATGGAAATTTAAAAAATAGGAATGGAAGTGGGAGTGAAAATATAAAAAAGTTGTAATGAAAATAAAAAGTGGAAGATGAAATGGGAATGAAAATTGGAACAAGTGGAAGTAGAAGTGAAAGTGGAAATGAGAATTAGAAAAAGTGGTAGTGGCAATGAATATAAAAAACTGGAAGTGGAAATAGGAATTGGAATGAAAAATAGAAAAAGTGGAAGTGGCAATGAATATAAAAAAATGGATGTGGAAATGGGGAATGAAAATTAGAAAAAGTGGAAGTGAAGTGGGGATGAGAATTTGAAAGCGTAGAAGTGAGAATGGAAGTGCGAATGAGAATTAGAAAAAGTAGAAGTAGAAATGGGAATGAAAATTATAAAAAGTTTAAGTGGAAGTGAAAGTGGTAATGGGAAAGTAGTGGCAAAGTTTCCGTGAAAATATATTTTAGAAACTCTTAATTTTTTTATAGGTACTAACGTTAGTAACATTAGTAACATTAGTAACGTTAGTAACGTTAATTTTTTCACCTGGGTTAACGTAATTTGCTGTGACAGCAAATAGTTCGCTGCCACAGCAAAATTTTTCTATGCGTGTATTAGACACGGAGAAAAGTATTAAGCGCCACGCGTCTGACTATATTCTGTTTGTACTACTTAAAACTTCTAGTCTATGCACTATTCCTATTTGTTGCGTCTAAGTCAGAATTTTACACTTTTTATTTTATAAAAGAAACCTTGAAAAACAGTATAAAATGTCACCTATCAAAAAAAATGATAAATTTTCTTTTTTCAAATAAAAGGCTTTATAAAAATTTTTGTAAAATTTTACGTTTTCATTATATATAAATCTTTGCCTTAAAAGAAAAGTCTATAAAACTCGAATGCGCACAAAATGTTCATTCGAGAATGTCATTCTAGGTTCAAAAGCTTCTCGTATAATTCGTTCATCTGCTCACTTCTCACATTGTCTAAACGAGTTGAGACGCATGGCAAAAAGCTATACGCAGCATTTCTATTCTGCACTTACATTTTCCTTCCTACTCAGTTTAAACTGTAATTTAACTATTCTCACTTTCAGTGCCAGAGATCATTAATTTTCCCTTGATGAACGAATTCATGTAGTCTTTATATAAAGGAACTTGTATAAATTGAGTTAACTAAATAAAAGTATAGGTATTTATTTCATTTAAATAATATCAAAGAATTATTAATTAATTATCATTTTACTTTTTCTCAAAGGAATTATTGTTTTGAAATTTCGAATAGAGTTTATTTGATTCAATGGTACATTATTTTATTTAATTAACCCATTAACGCCTATGCTTATTGCTTAGACAAATGAAAATGTCTGCAAAATCAAAATTGGAAACACGACTGCGATCCAAACTATTAACACTTACTTTTTTTAAAAAAATTATCGCATCTTTGAACAATTCACTTAATCTTGAAATCTATTGACAGTTATAATATTTTTAATGTTAAAACAATTGAATAACGATTTTTGATGGTACAGAAACACTCTTCTTTACCTACTGAAACCTACTGTAAGTATCAGATATTTGTTTCTTCAGTAAAATTGTTAAAAAATATTTTTAAATCTATGGGATGCTCAAGTCCCTCCCGTACCTAGAGGGTTAAACAAATTATTTTTTAAACAGTTCTTAACGTCAAAAGTTATTGTTTGGACCGCTGTCCTGGGGGTCAATTACGTAACTTTTTCCACATTCCTGATTCCACATTTCGTATTTCGGATTCCAGTTTCAAAATTCTGGATTCCACATTTTACATTCCGTATTCACGATTCCACATTTCGCATTTCAATTTCCACATTCCGGATCCTGGGCGATTTGTACCCCGATTTTGCGAAATGTGGAATCCGGAATGTATGATCTGGAATGTTGAATCCAGAATGTGCCCTCATAACAAAAGGATATCCCTAGGATATCCATATCAATGTTCGATATCCTAGAATGGTCCCCAGGATATCTTGGGATATCCAAACCGCCGGTCTGTGGGACATCAACAGGACATCCATAGGATATCCACAGGATATCCCTAAGACATCCACAAAATATCTATTGGATATTATATCGCAGGATATCCTCAGGATGTCTGTGGGATACTCTTAGGATATTCACGGGATATTTAATATCTCAACATATATTTTTAAAGGTTAAAATTGTTAAGCTAATATAATGAATAATAATACTTATAATAAAAACAAAAATCTTATGAACTTCTAATTTATTTTAAATGAAGATTTGAAACGCATTTTTCAAAGTTTTTAAATAAACTCATGCACTTAATGTATAATTAATATTAATAGTTATTCGTTATTTGCGGGGAAGAATTTATATTGTTTAAAGCCAATTTATTTTCTGTCAATATTAAGCATATGAATAAAGGAATGAATCACGAATGAGAAAAAAATTAGTTAATAATTTTTCAAATTAAACAACTTTCTCGAAAAACAAGTTGCATTTTATTTTATTTATATAAAATTTAATTCACAGAATATTTTCACTCGTAGTCTCATAATGACTTTAAAAACAGTATCCTGAGAATATCTTCTTGACATCCAGAAGATATACTGAGAATGTCCTGAAAATATCTGTGGGATATCCTGACGATATCTATGGGATATCCTGATGATATCTGTGGGATATCCTGACGATATCTATGGGATATCTGGAGGACATTTATGAAAGTCTATAGAGATATCCAGAAGATATCCTGTAGATATCCTCAGATATCCATGGGATATCCAAAGGATATTCAAACCGCCGATTTTTTTTGATATCCTTAAGAGATCCTTTTGATATCCATAGGAAATCCCTAGGATATCTGCGGGATATTATCAATATATCCCAAGATATCTTGTGTTATTAGGGTGGGATCCAGATTTTGGAATGTGGAAAGTGGAATCCAAAAAAAGTTACGTAATTGACACCCTGTTTCCAATTTTGATTTTGCAAATATTTCCATGTGTCTTAGCATGGGCGTTAATGGGTTAAGTATTTATTTACAATACTAGCCTAACCTATTTATTGAAAAGAAATTTTTTTCTTCAATTTTTAATAGACATTTAAGTAGCTGCTGTAGAATATAAATTTTATCTTGTACCTGTTACTTCGATGATATAATAAAAAAAGATCTCTTACCTAACACCAAATGCAATTCCCAAGGCGAATATCAGAGGTAGTAAGGTGGAAATGCAAGCCAAGAGGACGGTTTCCATGTCCGAAAATGCTGCAAGAATACCTGAAAGAAGAGAAGAAATTGTTTCTTTAAAAAAAAAACAGATCCCATGAGAAAAGAGGAAATTCAAGAAACATACGTTTCTATATACTTTCTATATTTGAAGACTTAAAATTAAATATAAAATTTTATTTAAAAAAAATCCTAAATACTTTCTCATTATATGATGAAAATGTAAAAAAAAGTGCTTCTCTACTAAATTTGTTGGTAGATATTCCAAACAGAGAACATAGAACAGCAGAGAAAGCAGTAATTTGAAATTTAATATTTGAATCAAACCGCATTTATATTAAAGTTACAGTAAACATAAATCAAATTGTCAAAACGTTGGTTAATTTGAAATGTATGTTAAAAGTTATACTCTGAAACTATTTCAAAAAATTTATTATCCTAATTTTCGCGAAATGAATTAAAATAATTTTTTCACATCGTTTTTTTTTATAAATGAAATAATATAAATATTAATTGAAAAATATTTTATAAATGTTTGAATAAAGAATGTGCAAAGATTTTTAAATATGAAAAGAATTTATGATTCTTGGAAAATCTGAAACAGAATTCCACACAGCATATTCCATGAAGGATCAGTGCGGAGCTTATGGCAATGCTCGTCATCTGTCATAACCTCATAACTGTGGAGAGTGGAGGTGTGTGGTGGTGTGAATTCAACGTCGAGGGCTTGAATCGTCATGTCGAGGAAACTCAAAATTATTCGTGTATAGAAGTGAATACGGCAATGAAAATGCACCCAAGTTCCGTAAAATCAAAGCATTGGCATTCCGACAAACATGAACCATTGGACAGACGAAAAATTATGTCAACTTGTTATTTTCTATTCGCGTTTCAATAATCTTTGGGATAAGGATCATCCCTGCTATCTTAAGGCTCAATGTAGATATGATGCTTATGAAAAAATTAGAAAAGTAAGATTTTTCTTCAATTTACATTCTATTTATGTAAAAAGGACAATACTTTATGTATATAATAATTCAGATTGCAAATCCGCAAACTATATTTGAATATCGACGACTATAGATTGAAATGGTAATTTTTATTCATAGAGTCTTTCCACGCCCGGTGTTACGGTCATCCATGTGTTATCGAAACTCTGGGACTTGCGAAACGATTATGTGGCTGAGTTGCGCAAAGTGCAACTTGAAAAAAAGCGGAATTCTCTCTATCGACCGAGGAAGAAATGGTTTTATACAATGCATCAATTTTTGTATCATCACCTCGATTCGGACGAAAAACCCAGCGAAAATTCTTGCGAAGTAATTACAAAATTATAATTTTTACAATTTAGTTTAAAAGATAATTTTCAATAACGCAATTATTTGTAAAAAGTAAGAGAAGCTTATGAAAGACAAAAAAAAAGGTGTAAGCTCCACGACAGAACCTTTATCCTCAACTTAATCTCTCTCTCTTCTATAGTGATAGCAATCTTTACTGCAATTCCAAGCTCTCAATTATTACTTCATTAAGAAGAATATTAGAAAATCCTTTTATATCTTCATTTACTAATTTTCCCTTATTTATTCTATCTATTTTTTATTATTTCATTGAAGGAAAGAATAGAAATAAAAGAGTTAAAACCAAGATCTTGTGTTAAAATCGAAAATCACTATTTGCAGGAAGAAAATCTCTCGGAATGCTGTGAAGACAAGGTGAAGGTAAGAGGCTCTCGTATTTTTCGTACGGTCCGTTATGAAGATAGGAAGTTTGGAAGTTGCAAACTTTGAACACGAAGTGGGATAGAAGTAGTTCTCGAAAGGTCTTCGCTTTTAAACTTTTTATCTCTCCCCATAAGGCGACCAGATAATTAACAGAAAAAAAGTATTTCTCTTTGAATTCTTCAATGGAGTGTTTTTTTCAATTAGTTTTTTTTTTAAATTCTTTTTCACCACCAAAATATTGATCCATCAATTATCTGTATTTCATTAGGAAAAAGCAAATATATTATGCACTTTTTGTCCTGATAGTCGTTCTACTAATAATTTTAATTAAAATTTTATGTTATTCAAATTAAACATTTCTTATTCATAAAGTTAGTCTATCCTTATAATTATTCATAATCTCATTGTCATTTAATTATTAGAATAAGTTATGGAATTTCTTTTTGTTGAAAATGCTCTTTTACTTATTGGTAATGACTTTTTAGGGATCAGACATAGAGAACGGTCATTTCAGTAAATCGAGACGAAAGTTGTTCCAGGATTCGACTTTCGAGGAACTAGAGAAGAAGACCGATAAATTTTTGACTAAAGGAAGCAAAAGAGGTCAATGTACTTCATCCTCCTTTTTCAAGTGCAGACACCAAGACCAGGAATATCGCTCCAACAACTTACAAACGTCCAAGTTATGGGTACCAACTTCCTTAGAATTACGAAGGTCAACACCAAAACCTACATCCTCGGAGAGGGAAGGATTTTCTTGCTGTTCAAATTGCTCGTGTTGCAGTAAAACCCCCAACTGGGAAAATCCAAACATTTCAGAGAAATTTAATCTACTGAATTCCAATAACGATTTAAAAGAATCCAAGTGCGGAACATGCAATCAAATTGATCATCTTGATGAAAAAGGTTACTTACATCATTTTATGTAACAAAATTTTAATCAAAAATTTTACCCCAAATTTTTAATTAATATATTAATGTTTACAGAAAGACAATATGAATTTGAAGAAACTGTCATTGTCACTTCTTCTGATTCTCTATGTAGTGAAAAAAACAATACTTTTGAAGATAACCAATTAAATAATGTTCGTCGTGTTCTTTGTCTCGATGAACTTAGTGATCATGTAACAAAAGCTTTAAATGAAATGTTTATGAAACTTTGTCCAGTTGATATTGCTTGTTTTAATTCTTATTGCTCTAATGAAACCTGTAGAGATGTAGAAAAAAATAAAGAAGAGAAAAGAAAGAGCACGTCTTCATCGAAAAATGAAAAAAGCAATTTCAGTAATCCAGACAATAGTTCGATTGCCGAAGGTACTTTATTAGTTTTCTATTTATTCATCTGAAAAATTAATTTGAGTAAAAGAAAAAATTGTCATTCAAACCTTTTTTTTGTAATAAAAATAGTTTAAGGGTAAAAAAATAGAAAATGTATTTCTTTTTCATATTTTATTTAAATTTTATTTATCTTTTAAATCTTACATTATAGTGACAAATGAAAAAGAGAATCGACAATCCGTAAATTCTTCTCAAGACAAAACTACTTCAGTCGAAGATGACAATTTCAGCCAGTTCGGAACGGAAGTCGCGAGACTATTGAAGGAATCAAACAGGGAGAAAGCGTTGAGATTGAAAGCAGCGATCAAGCAAACTCTTGAGTCTGCAAAGGAGGAAGGTTAAGAAGCAAAATCCTTGTGGTAAGAAAATCGAAAGGAATTGTCTTTTAGACTTTCATACACTTGAAATTCAACAACTTAGAAAATTTAAACTTCAAACAATGATCTTTCTTGAGATTTGATTTATAAAGTACTTAAACAAAATTTTAATTAAATTAACAGATATTTTTAAAAACTATATTAAAAAGTATTCTTGCGGTTGATGTATAGAAAATATTAATAAATTAAAGTGATAAAAAACAGACGACGAACGATTATTTTTTAATTGATCTTGCATTTTTTAAGTTCAAATTTCTAGGTTACTTGTCAAAGTGGCGCTTTTTATGATTAAAGAAATAAAAAAGAGAAATTTTTTAAAAATTGAATCATGACATGTGGAGTAAAAATGAATCAAATCAGTCTACCAGATGGACAAATAAAAATATCAATAAATTAATCTGTCTCTATAAAAAACACAAGTGTCTTTGGAAAAAAGACGATTCTTTTTACTTGGATCGTAAAAAAAGAAACGATGCTTATGAGAATATATGTAAAAATTTGTTAATGACAAAAGTAACTTTTATCCAAATTATAATAAAGATTCAAGAAGTTAGAAGACTGTATGTTGATGAACTAAAAAAAATATTTCATGCAGAACGTGATGGATATCATTATGAACCAAATTTTCAATGGTTTTGGAGACTTCATCAATTTCTACATCCCTATTTAGATCATGAAGAAATTCTCAAACTTGACGTTTGTTGAAATAAAAATAATTAACCTAAAATAACATTTTTGATAATTTTATAATAAATAATCTAATTATTAGAATTTCATATATAATGAAGAACCCTGTATTTGTCGTAAGCAAAAAAAAATTCGAAAATCATCAGAAAGTTCCACGAAAACTTGTCGAAATGTAGAATTGAAAAATAAAGATTCTAATAAAACAGTTTCCATCTTAGAAAATGAATACAATAAATTATTAAAAAATAAAGAATCTGTAATAATTCAAGTAAATATCTTTTTAAACTGATTTAATATTATATATTGATTTTCTAAATAAAAAAACATAATTTTTAACTACATATCATGAAATCTTTCCTCTGAGAAAGGAACATAACACGTGCAGATCACTATCAAAGATTGAGAGTTGCAGTCGAAGCGATATTTCGTCTCTAACAGTTCGAAAGTCCTGTGATCAATTTGATTTCTTCGCGAAAAGTGTCGCTTGTCAACTAAGAAAAATGAACTCGAATTTTGCTTTGAAGGTGCAAAAGGCCATTCAAAAAATGCTTAAAAATCCTGAGACACTAGAGAAAGAAGAATTCATTAATTGACGATAATGAAAAATTTTATATTTTGGAAAGAAAAGATGATTTCAAATGACAATTACCAGGTATATAAATTTTTAAAGTAAAAATTATTTATCTTATATAGAAATTAATTTCAATTAACTACATATGCCATGTAAAGGTATAATTATTGAAAAGTAGAAGTTTCCGGTTTAGGTAAAATTATCACCGCGAATGCAATTATTATACACTGGAAATGTTTAACTTATTCAACTTAAATTTGTCAAAATTCATTAACAGAAGCTAAATTGCATTTACAAATTGTAAAGGAAAAGGGTTTATTGTCAAAATATTCACTGAATACTCAACGAATGTATGTAAAGCAAAATTATTTTGAAGCTAAAATCTCATTACTATCTAAAATGTGATGTGAAGCGTATTTATACAATGAATTTCGTGAAAGACCATTTTCTTAAATAATTATATATTATGATTTTTTTTAAAGAAAACGTTTTATGCAGTCAGAATTTTATTTTCCTTTAAGCAAAATATTTTATTGTGCATATAGATTGAAAGCTATCAAAAAACTGATTTTTTATTGGCTTTATAGAAAATTCCGATTTATGATCCACCATACATTTTTATGAGAAGTAAATTGGATCTTAGTCGCACATATTCAAGGACCTTCACCTCTCATAAAAAATAACTGTTGTAAATCTTTCTAAATATCTCCTCGTGTTTCATTCAAAGAATTTTTTTATTGAGTTATTCCTAGTGAAATCGGTTTGGTCTTTATTGATTTTTTTTTACGAAGTAGTTCAACAGCTCGAGGGGTGGTATATCTAAACCTAAGGTCATAATAAAATTGTATTGGCATTCTAGCTGAAATCGTAAATATTGAAAGCCTTCGACCTCCTGGTACGTTTTTCGACATTTCATCTATTTTCTTTTTTTTGAACCTCAACAATTCAATTATTCGAAAAGCTTTTAATCCGCAGAAATTAGAAGTAAGGATTATGCTATTATTAAGTGATATATATTCTGTTAAGAAACAATATTGATTAAAATTAAATTAAAATGTTTACAGAATATAAAAATTGAATTGCGATTTAAAATTAAAAACGTTGTGTATTTTGGTCATTTGCAGTTATTTTTAATGCGTTTTAATCCTTTTTATTAAAATGAATTAGAGTGTCAGCAATATTTACATTCTATATACAAAGAGAATTCAATTAGCTCCAAATTTTCATGGTATTAAATAGAATTAAATTTCGGATTTCAATTACATTCAATTTTTCCGAGAATTAAAAATAATGTAGAGAGAAAAAATGATTTTTTTTTTTTTGCAAAAACTATTGGTCAAAATATATATTTACATTCGTGTGTAACATCAAGTTTAATTAAAAACTCATTTATAGTGGCGCGTGATTTTGAAATACAAAATCAGTGAGCGTTTCGTAATTTGATTTATTGTTCAATTTTCAATAAAACGGAAAAAGCTCATATAATTATTAATTAATTTAATATTAAGATAATTGCATTATTAATTATGAAAAATTGATGTGTGGGTCAATTATTGAAAATGTCTCGCACCAAGTGAATGCGACGAATCGATGAACCATTCAAAGAAGACTCTGATATTTAGTATGCGACTTGAGTTTCTACTGAACAATCAGACAAGGAAACAGCCAGACAATTTTAAGTGGTTTACAAAGGACTACTGTTGAATAAAAAGCTTCCAGAACATTTCTCCTAACTTGAAGTAGCAGATTCATTTGATTAATGAATCCAGGCAAAGAGAAATAAATCCAAAAGGATAATAAAAAAGAACTTTATCAGCTTATTTTTAATTTGAATCCATTAGTGGTTTAAACTCACAAAAAAAACAATATAAAAGAAAACGAGTAAAGTAAAAAATCGTAATATTATTTTTGCCGTTAATAATTTATTCATTGATGATTATGAAAACAATATAATTTAAACTCATTTGAATTTAAAAATTGAGGAAAAATAATATTGCAGAGTATGAAAGTTAAATATTAAGTAGTACAAGAAGATTTTGATCAGACAGTAATATCAGATAGTAGGTGAGCTTGCAGCAACCTTGCGGCAAGAATGCCGCGCGATATTGCCAACCTTTGCACGGCAAACTTACCGCCAGCTTACTGCAAGCTCCAAATGTCACCTAACACAAGCTTGCATGGTAAGCTTACTGAAAAATTGCTCAGTAATCCTGCCGAAAAATTCTAGTGTAAAGTTACTACAAGGAAATCGATTCTCTAACTTTCCTACTTCCCACTTTTGACTTTCCACTTCCTACTTTTTACTTTCCACTTTTCAATTCCAATTTTTTTCTTCCCACTTTCAATTTCCACTTTTTATTTTCCACTTCCCACTTTTTACTTCGAACTTCCCACTTTTCAATTCTCACTTTTTACTTCTCACTTTCCAATTCGACTTTTTACTTCCCACTTATCACTTTCCACTTTTTACTTCCGACTTTCCGCTATCTAATTCTCAATTTCCAATTAGACTTTTTACTTCTCACTTATCACTTTCCTTTTTCCACTTTTTACTTCCACTTCCTACTTTTTACTTCCCACTTTACAATTTTTTAGTGAAAGAAAGTGGGAAGTAAAAAGTCGGAATTGAAAAGTGGGAAGTGTAAAGTGAAAAGTAAAAAGTGGGAAGTATAAAGTCGGAATTGAAAAGTAGAAAGTGGGAAGTAAAAAGCCGGAAGTAAAAAGTGGGAAGTGGAAAGTCAAAAATCAAAAGTGGGAATTAAAAAGTCGGAATTGAAAAGTGGAAAGTAGGAAGAAAAAGTGGGAATTAAAAAGTGGAAAATGGGAAGTAAAAAGTCGGAATTGAAAAGTGGAAAGTGGGAAGAAAAAGTGGGAATTAAAAAGTCGGAATTAAAAAGTGGAAAGTGGGAAGAAAAAGTGGGAATTAAAAAGTGGAAAATGGGAAGTAAAAAGTCGGAATTGAAAATTAGAAAGTGGGAATTAAAAAGCCGGAAGTAAAAAGTGGGAAGTGGAAAGTCAAAAATCAAAAGTGGGAATTAAAAAGTCGGAATTGAAAAGTGGAAAGTAGGAAGAAAAAGTGGGAATTAAAAAGTGGAAAATGGGAAGTAAAAAGTCGGAATTGAAAATTAGAAAGTGGGAATTAAAAAGCCGGAAGTAAAAAGTCGGAATTGAAAAGTGGAAAGTGGGAAGAAAAAGTGGGAATTAAAAAGTGGAAAATGGGAAGTAAAAAGTCGGAATTGAAAATTAGAAAGTGGGAATTAAAAAGCCGGAAGTAAAAAGTCGGAATTGAAAAGTGGAAAGTGGGAAGAAAAAGTGGGAATTAAAAAGTCGGAATTAAAAAGTGGGAAGTGAAAAGTGGAAAGTCAAAAATGAAAAGTAGGAATTACAAAGTCGGAATTGATAAGTGGAAAGTGGGAAGAAAAAGTGGAAAGTCAAAAGTCAAAAGTGGGAATTAAAAAGTCGGAATTGAAAATTGGAAAGTGGGAATTAAAAAGCTGGAAGTAAAAAGTCGGAATTGAAAAATGGAAAGTGGGAAGGAAAAGTGGGAATTAAAAAGTCGGAATTAAAAAGTGGAAAATGAGAAGTAAAATGTAGGAATTGAAAAGTGGGAAGTATAAAGTGGGAAGTGGAAAGACAAAAGTCAAAAGTGGGAAGTAAAAAGTGGAAAGTAAAAAGTCAAAAGTGCGAAGTAAGAAGTCGGAATTGAAAAGTGAGAAGTGGAAAGTAAAAAGTGGGAAGTGGGAAAGTTAGAGAATCGACCCTCAGATGGGACATTTGAAGCTTGCCGCAGGGTTGCTGCAAGCTTACGTGCTATCTAGAATGTTTCATCTTGTTTTAGAGTAAAATGTTTGCTATATTGTAAAAAATGTTGAAAATAAAGATTGTTACTTTTTTTTTAGAAATAGAATTTGTAGAAATACTCACTATATTCAAGCTCGTCGTTTTCTGCAAGGTGCGCAGTGGCATTGTGAATGTGCTGGCTCGTTTCTGTGGTGGTGGTAGTGGAGGAGGTAACCACAGCAACAGCGACGTGGGTTAAGGCCGAGGACGGATTAGTTGGAATTGTCGCGCTACTGCTAATCGTCGCTCCTACCACAGTTGGTGTAATTGTTGAGGGTGTTGTTGGAAAACTCATACTTCCTGTAGATTGGAAGGTTTCCGTGGTATTCACCTGCATTTTTCACAACACCTTTTTTTTATTAGATCACCTTACACCATTCATCTCACTCTTTTAAAGACCATTTTTCACTTCCTATAAATAACGCGAGGAATTAAATAAAAATTTTTATCACTTCATCTTCATATGACGTCGTCATCATTGAAGTCAATCGTCTTTTTTCATTCATCTATGGATAATGTTTTTTGTTTCTCAAATTTTTCAAACAAATTTCAGGGAAAGTTTTTTTTAGCTGAAAAAGTTGTTCTCATTTGAAGGAAATAAAGACACGTGTCCTCATTTTTCATAATTTCACTCGTTCATTTTCTGCTGTTCGTTATCTTAGAGCAAGTATAAAATTACCTGGAAAATCCCAAGGAAGCTCTTCGTTCCGTTTCGGTGTCCTTTTCTCGTTGGATTTTCCTCTTTCACAATTTCCTTTATACTCACTTTCCCCCAGGCTCTCATTGATGTTATAGCGTTAGGAAAACTACTTGGTTCTTAGATCTCGGTTGATCTAAGCAATGATGCGTTTTCTCCTTTATTGCAACAGAAACGAATTCTGCAATAAAATGCAAAAAAAAAAAAAATTAGTTAATTATTGTCAAGAAAAAAATCTCAATTTTTTAAATAAAGCATATTATTTTAGCTGTGTCAGCTAATTTTTTTTATTACTTGTTAAAAAATGGCTAATATATAGTATTAAATTCTTTCTCCTACATATATTAAAATGTATGCCTTGAGAAATTTTCAAGACTAAAAAAAATAATAAAACGGAAAATTATTTTATGAGAGAGTTAGCTATTTGTTATTTTTAAATATACTGTGATTTTGGCAAGAAAAGAGAACTCATTATGCAAACGGGAACGTTTCATGCTGTCTAGTCAAGAGCAATATAGTTTCAAAACTTAATGCACTGTTCTTCCCTCGCGAATGATTTACGGATAATTTTTCCACAGTTTTGTTATCTGAATTAATGTCATCGACTTGAAATTCTGTCTGCAAATGTATTTTCCCGCTTTTTATTCCTTGGACGGCAAGAATAGATATTCCTTGAATTTTTGAATATAAATGTTTTTCAATAGTTCAACTTTGTATTCTTCTATATTTATTTTATTCATTTTAAAAATAAAAAAAAATTAGAAGAACAAATATCGTTTTATTTGCGTGGAAAATAATTATAAAAATGAATATCACAATGGAGAAAAAAAATCAATTTAATAAATATTCACTGAAAATATTGAAATCAATTTCAACTTTTTTAATTGAACCTACAATAGTATATGCTTTTCTCTTTTTTTTCAACTATAATGTTTTGCTTTTATTTAGTCGAAATACCTTTTATTCGAAAACTCTCTGGTATAATGCATTCTTGAATGAAAAAAATTTAGAGAGAAATTAATTGTTGAATCAAAAAATTACTAATTTATTTTTTTACACTTATACTTTCTAAATTTGAATTAGTAAAAATTTTAACAAATTTGAATTAGTGACTTACTTTTTTGAGTTTGTTAAATTTTACTAAAAAATTTTTGTTGACTATTCTAGTTGAATTTTACTAGAAGCAAAAAGTGAGTCAGTAATTGAAATTAATTTTTTACTAATTCAGATTTAGTATATATTATCGAGAAAGCATTATGTCTCATTAGGGTATAGGACTTCTATTTAACGAACCACCACTGCTAATTGATATAAGGGTACAACAGAAATCAGATTGTCAATTGGACGCAAGAGGGGATTGTGAATTCATTAAATGGCATCAAAGCTGATTGATACAGTGTTCTATAGCGGAAACTATGTATATATGGCATCAATGTCTGCTATATATATGTACCTCAGTGATTGACATTGATTACTAATGGATTCAGATCTAGTTTCGAATTTTACAGATTAACAATTTAAGAGACTAACAATAGAATATTTCTCCAGTAGAAAAATTGAGTTTAATTAATGCCATACACTGAAAAAAGGGTTTGGTATTGACAACCAAACGTTTTGTTGGTATTTAAGAAACCAAATTTTTTTTGTTGAATCAACAAAATTTTGGTTGTCCCAATCAAATTTTAGTTAGGACAACAAAAATCCTGTTTTCCTAATTTTGATTGTGTCAAACAAATTTTGATTGAGACAATTAAAATTTTGTTGATTCAACAAAAAAATTTTGGTTGCTTAAATACGAATCAAACGTTTGGTTGTCAATACCAAACCCTTTTTTCAGTGTAAAAATTTCTAATGAAAAATTTTTGTTGAAGTTTTTTAAATACATAAAAGTCAACTGAATCGAAATTATAAAAATTTTAAGTACATAAGTATAACAAAAATCAATATATATTTCTTTTAAGATTACCCTCTATTGTTTTATTTTCTTTGTAAAATTTAATTCAAAGTGCGCGTGAAAGGTACGTTTTTAGCATTTTTCTTTGAAGCTGGTATATATACTTTCTCGTGCATTTTATTCTTGAATGCGTTCAGTGATGCACGACTTCATCGTCTTCAACATCTCCGTCTTCAGACAACGATGTTATATAATAATGGGGGGATAAAAATGGAAAATTTCGCTTCTATTCGCACTACTGAACCGCATATCAAGATGAATATATATATATTTTTTTTAAGCGTCAATAATGTGATTTCAATAACAATAGCATTTTTAAGTTTTTAAAAAAATTTAATTTTACAAATTTACACCTATTAGAAATTAATTTTTATTATGACATAAATAATGTGCAATTACGATTTGAAAATATGTACTAAAGGTGAAGTCACACACGCTATTAAAATAGTCGTTGTTTCTTGCCACTGGGTAATTTAGAAGGAGACAGGCATTTCCCGCCCTATTTTACTCATCCCTGAATTCAAACGGAATTAATATCACGAGGCTTGAAGGGTGCTCTTGTATTTGATGTCAAGAGCAAAGCAGTCCTTAGAGTGAAAGAGGGGTTGAGAATTATTAAACCTCTCAATTATGTGTCACCATACACGAGAGGAAAATTGAAACTCACATGCTTTTTTTACAGTCACATTAATTTCGTATTGATAAACTGTATATGAATAATTAAAATAATTCGATTCTTTTTCATTTTTTTAAATTAAAGCGAAAATTTTGAAAAATTTATAAATTTTTGCAAAACTCATTAGTTTGCAAACAGATTTTATTTTGTAGAATTTTTAAGTAAGGGAATTTCATATCACAGAATTTATTTTATACTTGAAATATTCAATTAAATTATTTTATATAAAGCATATGATTTCTATAAAAATTTTAATTAATCGTTTAAAAAAGGAGCAATTTTTGTTGCATGTAAAACAAAACGAATAAAATTAAAAATTTTTCGAGAACTACATCCCTTGCGTTAAACTGAGGCTAGGGCTGACCGAACGTACTCTTGTATCACTGTCACTGTTCTTAATACCTATCAAGAAAACGCGGTAATCAAAACAATGAATTCACAGAAAATTAAAAGGCATTAAAATAAGCTGCAACGCTTATTATTTTAATCCAATTTTACTTATTTTAATCCATTTTGGTATTAAAATAAGCAAAATTGGATTAAAATAATAAGCGTTGCAGCTTATTTTAATACCTTATAATTTTCTGTGTTAAAAATTAATAAAAAATTTTTCATTAACTTTTTAATTCTTTAATTTTGAATTTGATTTTTAAAGATTTAAACGATTCTTACACATAGACATAAATTCTAAAAAAAATATCTTCAGTGATTTTGAATGTACTGCAAAGAAATTTCAGCATCACACACGTAGATATAATAAAAACAACAAACAAACGATAAAATGAGCATGTTGCAAAGAGATAAACAAGGAAAGGGTTATATTGGCAGCACACATGTATTCGATAGGCTGTCGAGCCAAATGCCACAATAATATCGGAGGGTCAACCACTGCAAATGTGGAGCACCAAATGGCCGACGGCACATACTGGTCTGGCGATAAACCAACTCTGGAAATGGAACTTGGAGATGCGAGGAAATCTAGAAAAAAAAAACCCTACCGATGCTACTCCAAGAGGATATAATATTTACACTCCATGTGTGCAATAAAAATCCAATCGTAACTTTTCAAGGTGATATTGGTTGAAAAACCAATTTCCAACCTTTTGATAGTTTTTTTTTAAAAAAAAGTATATTTATTTCGACGATTGTGGTTTTCTTATTAAGTAATTTTATTCTAAACAACGATAGTATTTTTGTGAAAAATTCAATTAGAGTTTTCATTCAATTTTTTGATATCATAAGTGCTACTGAAGTAGTCGATTTAATTTTTCAAAGGTAGACACATTTAAAAAATTGACAATCGTACAAAAAAACTGATTTCTTAAATAAATAATGTTTTTTTTTTCTCCTTGGAGATGAGGACCCCAAGGAAATTATCAGTGGAAAAGGTCGATAAAGCAGAGACAGAAATGCAGAGAGAGCAAGATGTTTGCCTCTTTTGTGAACCTATATAACAATGGATAGGAATCTTTGGGGAATTTATCAGTTTCAGGGGGATCCGGATTAAGGTAACGGAACATGGCTAATTCAAAGAAAACCTCTAAACCTATATCCAACGACTATTTCTACTTTCCCTTGTGGCAGCTTTCTTTTAAAGCAAACCATAATCTGACAATTGTAAAAGTAACTTTAAAAGAATAATTTTCTTTTTGGATTTATTAAACCTGTGAATTTTTCAGGTTAACTTTGTTCAACAAAACCAGTTGTCGAATTAACGGAGGATATTCATTGTAAGTCTCGGGATTAAGGAAGGCTTGTTTATGGTGACAAAATGGGATATAGGATCGCTCCCTGCAATTCGACTCTCGTGGAGTGAGAGTGTACATAGTATAATAAGCAATTTGTTGTCCTATTCAAAGGAATTAATTTGTTAAATTCGAGAAGGATATATAATTCTTCTTTTTATTCTGATAAAGAAGACTTGGAATAATAATCCAACAGAAAATAATAAAATCCTCTAACAGTTTACAATTAAAACAAATCTCTTGAGCTGTGTTTTTTTTTTTTTTTAAAGAAACAAATTCCAAAAAATTTAAGTAGAGAAAACTTGTTTGAAACAATTTTGTCTAAATCACCCTCATCGTTGGCAAAAACTTTTTAACAAGGAAATAAAGCCTTGATCCGAAAAAGTATTGCGACTAGCTCTAAAGTTTTGCTCATTGGATTCTTCAAAAGTTTCGCGCATGTTCACGTGTTTCTCTCTTCCTGTAGATTTTCCGATTGGCAAAAAAAAAAAATATAATTAAAAAGCATTTTCATAATCGAATTGATTACACCTTTTATTATAAGTACGCGCGGCGACAGCATCTGCAGCATTAATTAGAAACTTTCCTTTTAGCCATACTAGCCCCGGGCCATCAATTTTGGACTTTCGACATAATCACGTGATCTAACAGCATCTAAAAGCTCTAGCAGGAAACCTGGCTTTGAAACTTTATGCATATATTTTACAATATGAGTCAAAACTTATTGTCAATAAGTCGATTATATATAATTTCTCGATATAATTAAATGCCAGACACTTTAATGTAATAATAGAGGTATACTTAAA